ATTAGGAATGTCACCCTACGAATGTGTTACGTTACGGGTGCGTCAAGGTGCGTGTCGGGTGTTAGGTCTATGGACATAAACGTTCTTGCATAGAATGTTGGCCGTCAGCTCTTATCTTGGTTCTGATAATGCTGTTAAAATGTATATTTCATAATCTCCTACTTTCCTTTTAAGAACCTGTTACCACACATACCTTTCATAAGAATAATGTCTTTCTGTAAGGTTGATACTGTCTATATCCAAGGTCTCTCTATTCATATTAAGGTGAACGTAATAGATATTCACCGCGATCAAGCGGAAGGGGATATACGAATGTCAGTAAGATGAACGACAAATATATATGTTACCAAGTATGTTACTATGACTGAGTGAGTGAGTATGGTTTCAAGTCGCTTTTGCAATATTCCTTCAATGTAACCTCGGGAGACACCAGAAGTGTTCTTCATTTATTGTACCCATGTGTAGAATGTGCAGAGGTACTTTGAAAGAGATAGAAAGAGTTCTTGCATATATTCTTTAAGGTTTCAGACCTGTCAATTTGTCTGTATGATTTCCTCCCAAATCTGAGTCGCACTTCGAACAAACCTTCGCGGCTGCTATTAAAGGAAATCTCCACGCGTTTTCGTCAAAACACACTTTTCCCGGACAATAGGCATGCCAAGCGAACATGTGTGTTCTTGGTAAAACCTGATCGAGGACAAATCAAAGATCATGATGATACTTTTGATCGAACGACAAACGATCCGCATTCAAGATGTGTGCAAGTCTGGTCATACAGGGTCAGATGACAGTACTGTTTATTGTTTAAAAGTTGAAAACACCTACATCAAGTGTCATATTAAACTCGGTCCATAGAATGTATGTGCAAAGATTGCTGTGGGGATAACAGATGTTATTTTATATTGATCAGTAAAATCTATTACCGTTTACTGTCCCAAATAGGACACTTTAAACATTTAACTTTTTAACCCAACGAGTATGCGAACCCTTTTCATTTCATTTTTGAAATCGCCATTTTCAAAATACCAGAGAATTGCAACTATTTTTATTTGTTCACAGGGTCCGTCCTTACACCTTGTTGTCGACATTTTGAATTAATTGTTATATTTAATGGAATATGTCTATTCCTTTAATCTCAGCAGTTTGTAAAGAAAGCAAAATTTGAAACAATGTCTATAATCACATTATCTTTCATTAATCTAGGTATTTGGGGCTTTTTTTATTAAGAAATATTATAACTGCTCTTGTCGTTATCATTGGATATAGTACCACCTGTGAAAAAAAGATTTGGCACCACTCTAATATAATATAATTCAATAATTGATAATCGATTTTGAATTGCAACATAAGAATGTCACTTTCGTTTTTCGTAATCAAATTAATACAAAATAGGACTTCAATCAATGACTACATGAATATCATTAGAAAATGTTGCGTTGTGCCTATCCTTGTTCAAGTGTATGGTATGTGTGGGTTTAATGTTTATTACTGTTGACCACTGTATATTTGACCACTGTATGTGATCGAACCCTGTCATTGTCCTGTGGTATTTCCTAGTTTTCACTCAGAATGTCTGAATACGGTTCTACAATGGTTATATGTTTGAAGATGACTGAAACTCTTCAACCGTTTCAGTATAACACGAAATGTAATATGCTTTATATCATATAATGTGCTGTAAAAAACAGGTGGTGTTTGATAGAATGTCATGTTCCATTACTGGCGCTTTGCATGGGCTGACTAGTAACTTGATCCGATAATGACAGTAACACTCTGCATAATCCATGAAGTTAGCAAACGCATTGTAATTTGTTTGATTTTAAGGAGGTGAAATGGGTATTAACGTCATTTTCGATATTATTTTACTGATATATCGACGCTCGAGTTTCACATGGATACCCATTAAAACACTGTGTACGAACCCTTGTCCTTTCATGAATCCATGCCGACCTATTCGTATCAAGAATAGAACCATTTTGACGAGTGCGTGTCTCTTCGAACTTGCCTCTCACTAAAAACATAGCATCCATATTTTGATTTGTAGGATCTTTTGTAACTACGGGTAAACCCATGACATGCGTTTTTGCGTCGGCAACATACGCCTACCTTTTCACGAACACTCGGTGTCATCTTTAACTGACATGAAAATGTCTTATGTTTCTGTAAATGAAGGTGATGCCGATGATTTTGTTGTCCTTAGACCCGTGAAGGTCCGGGTTAGAACTGATCTTCAGTAACCCATGCTTGTCGTAAGAGGCCACTGACGGGATCGGATGGTCAGGCTCGCTGAATGGGTTGACACATGTCAGCGTATCCCAATTGCGTAGATTGATGTTCATGCTGTTGATCCCTGGATTGTCTGGTCCAGACTCGAATATTTACAGACCGCCCCCATATAGTTGGAATATTGCTCAGTGCGGCATAAAACTGGACTCACTCACTCACACTTGTCTTTGAAACAGATGTCAGTGAGATCTGCACAGGACTGTGGCGTCCAGATCCTCCCTCACCCAGCCTGTTCTCCAGATCTTGCTCCTTCTGACTTCTTCTTTGGGCAGGTTGGGTAGCCTAGTGGTTAAAGCGTTCGCTCGTCACATGGGTACAATGTGTGAAGCCCATGTCTGGTGTCCCCTGTCGCGATATTGCTGGAATATTGCTAAAAGCGGCGTAAAACTAAATTCATTCATTCAGTTGGGGACTACCTCAGTGATCTGGTGGATAGATCCCCGCTGCGTCAAACCAAGAGATTGTTGTTTCCCTGCCTGAAGCTCGGGACGTGAACCTGGACTGATTTCTAAGTTCCCAGCACTCCAAGTACTCATTCATTCACGCTTCCTCTTCCCTCAACTCAAATCTGTTCCCAGTGGCAGCATGTGTGAGACGGATAAGGAGGTCATCACTGCTGTGAAGGCGTTTTTAGGGTCACGTGACAAACAATGGTTTTTAGACGTGTTAAATATGCTGCAGAAATGGTTGAACAAGTGCAATGAAGAGAAGGGGATGTTGAAAAACTGTACACAATTTTCATATAGATCGCATAATTATTTAGGGAGGCCGGAAACTTTTGTGACAACCCTCGTATAAATAACATTTCAGCTTCCGGTTAATGTTTAATATGCCTCTGAGGAAAGAATGAGCTGTGTGTGTTCCGAATGATTGTCCCTGGAGTTACCAACCTGCTCGACCTTTCATCAGCGATCGATAAGCAGCATGCATATTCAATTATTTTAAAACACAATATTATGTCGTTGGTGTGATGTATGTGCTTAATCTTTTAACACTGTTCATTTTGTATGCAACAGAATAGCAAAATACGATGTTCAGCCCATGAGAACCCCTGTATAGTTTGCACAAATGTCAGTGTGATTAATAGCAGCATCACTGGTTTCGCGTTACCAGAATATTTATAGGTTCAGGTTTCAGAAAACTTTCTCCAAGAACGACGCTGGCCCTGACCTACTTGAACAGTGATCAAAGTAGATAGGTACATGCCAGTATTTCACATATATCATATAATGTCAGTCCAAAAGATTTCACATGGATTTCATTTGTGATAATGGCCTACCAGCTGTGTAAATTATACTAACGGAACACTAAAAATCGGGGATGATATCAAATGTTCGCAATAAGGGACCGTTCATAATTTATGGCTAGTGGGGTGATGATGATTTTTACTGAGAAGCATGTACAATGTGAATGACCCCCCCCCCCCCATAATAAGTGACTCCCCTGCATGTCATGTATAAAATCAATGACCCCCTCCACTTCCCATAATTTCTAAGCATAATTTTAACATATTTTTATGTACAAAATTGCTGACCCCCACCCCCACCCCTAGTATGTGTGAACAAAACTTGTGACCCCCCAGCTGCCCAGAACAAAATGGGTGATCCCCCTTAAAATCATCAATTTCTCCCCAAACAAACACACACACACACACACCATAAATTATGTACGGTCTCTAAGGGTGAGTCCTGCCCTTCTGGTAGCAACCACCATTAACACAATTGCCGAAAAAGGAAGTATTTATTGCCTGACGCTGCCCAGCAGTAATCCTGCCACGTCGGCATGTGGACGAACCAGACAATCAAGTGATCGATGGACCCACTTAAAATTTACAGCGACATGTTAGTGTAATTGTTCTTGAAACAAGTATCTCCAAACGGTATGTTAAGTTTGAATTACGATTGCTGTAAATCCTTTGTTTTCATATTGGAATTGATTCAAACTTTTGTTTGTACAGGTGATGTGTATAAATTAGGTGATTTAGTTACAGATAGCAGACACATGGTGAAGAATCAGAGATCAGGGAACTGAACATACCTCTCTCTAGAACTTAAAACAATCCATTATTGTAGCAAATCATTTTTAGGTTCCATGTGTTAAGATGTGAAGTCGTCTCTTGTTCTACCCGTGAAGGTCCGGGTTAGAAGATTGATCTTCAGTAACCCATGGTTGTCGTAAGAGGCGACTAACAGGATCGCTGATTTGGTTGACACATGTCATCGGTTCCCAATTGCGCAGATCGATGCTCATGTTGTTGATCACTGGAATGTCTGGTGCAGACTCGATTACTTACAGACCGCCGCCATATAGCTGGAATATTGCTGAGTGTGGCGTAAAACTAAACTCACTCACTGACTCAATCTATCCTAGATTTGTTTATATTTTCATTGTCCCAGTTATTAGATCGATACTCATGTTGTTGATCACTGGATTGTCTGGTGCAGACTCGATTATTTACAGACCGCCGCCATATAGCTGGCATATTTCTGAGTGCGACGTAAAACTAAACTCACTCACTCACTCACTTACCCGTCCGTTGTTCCGTCACAACTGGTCGCAAGGATTCCAGCTAGACGTATACATGTAAACAGACACATGAACAGTACAGAATGTCAATGCTAAAGTATGTACGATCTTCAAAACAAACCCCAGATTCCTTTGGGTTTTAAAAAGCAAAACAGCGATGAAAATTGTATAAACAGATCACTATAAAATAGATGACACCATTTTATTTATGCTATACAAGGGCCCGGTAATATACAAAATAACGATGGCTCATCGGATATCCATTATATACACAGTGGGTGTAAGTTACTTTTCTAATATCAAGAACGACCTCAACAAAGTTCTAGTGACAACGGTACCCTCCTTCAGTCATCGGGATACACACTTGAAACTTCCTGCATGTGTGCCCCTGACATGCGCCTGCAAGAGCCTGAAATGTGAAATATGTATACATGTGAAAAAATAAAGAAAACTATGGAATCCTGAAAGGGACATTGTTGCGTTGTCGCCCTCTCAAAAACAAGTAAAATGAGGCAAATTTAATATGTCGCATTGTCGCGTTGTGGTGTTGTCGCCCTTTTCGATTACCGGTGCGCATGAAATGTCGCGTTGTCGCGTGTCGCGCTTTGTTAAAATATTTAGTATACTGTGTATAATAACGTATTGACTACAAACGCGACAATGCGACACTGCGTCTTGCTGCTAAAACACACTTGATTGGCTAAATACATTTAAAATATATGAAATAATTTTCAAAGCAACAATGAAAGATTTGCATTACGTTCAAGAAAAGAAGCCCCCATTGCCATTACGAGTACTACTTCATTTTTTTAACCGTACCACTGTAGGTAACAAAAGACCAGTGAAGTCTGAAATAGAGTAAAACATTTTCTGCGCATGCGTAGACTAATTGACTTTCTACACGACAAAGGGCGACAACGCGACAATGCAACATATTCACTATGTCGCGTTGTCGCGCATTTTTAGGCTTTTTTTCTACACATCTTAGATGGGGCGACAACACGATAATGTCCCTTCTAGGATTCCACAGAAAACTCCTTTGGCTTTTATGCAATTAAGAGGGGTTAATTCTGTAACCACCTTACTGAAAGAAATTCTTACAGCTGGTAATTGAGCCTGTAATTTATTATACTAGTCACTGATGCAGTTCCTGCAAAACAATAAACAAAAACAACAACACACAAAACGAAAACTTGCACTCACCCCTCACCCCAAAAACAAAAAACAGCAAAAACAAATAATGGTAATAAAAAGAAATAAGATAAAATAAGATAAAATAAACAAATAAAAAAATATAAAAGAAACACACACAAAAAATATATAGCAGTTGAATACATGTATATTAGAAACCCTTCCTGCATCCTGGGTTTCACTTAGACGCTTAAATTTCTTTTCTGTCTTGTATCATATCTCACACTTATAAGCCGAATATGGTGGTTAACCTTTATTCCCCGAAACAGATACAGTTGGGCTTAGAAAGCAGATAAGCGGTGAATGAATCAATAATCAGCGGAATTTAGTTATTGACACCAGGTGTTCGCGAAAAGTGTAAAAAGCTTTGTCCTACCGGCAGCACTCCCAGCCTCATGATGGTTTAAATACATTTGAAGCCCAGATATAATCAACACACAAGATGCCTCGGAGATGTAGAATGTACAATGCTCTGTAAATGTGTATCATATTCACTTGATGTAACTTTTATGTGTGGGATTTAACCTATTATACCCTGACAAAACATAGCTACAATATTACGCTTCTTCGTTCGATGTTGTTCAATCACGGCTTTAGAAATTAATGGATCTCCAAGTATTCCATCACAAAGGATAACTATTTCAAATCACTAACTATGAAGGATCTTTGTAATAATACCAGTTTTCATTTAGTTATTGCATTTCTGAAAGAAATAGATTTGTTAAATGATTTGTAAATAGATAAACATGTTATGATTGGAAGTTTAAATTAGTGACTCAGATTGTTAGTGACTGTATCCTCAAGGGTGTGTGTGTGTGTGTGTGTGTGTGTGTGTGTGTGTGTGTGTGTGTGTTAAAGTACTGTAAAATTATTTTCCTCCTGAGAGGGTACGTAAGTCCCAAAACATTCAAAGTAAATTAAAACTTTCCACTGTTTTAATCGTAGAATATGTGTATGACTATCTGTGTCTGAATTGGTAAAAGCTGAAGGGATGGTGTAAATCCAACTAGGGTCCATGCAGGAAGCAAATGTACAGTAAGTCCCCATGGTCCCTAGTATGGTGATCTACCTTCAGTTGTTGGCGATCTATAGCCCGTGTTTTATATTGTATTGTTTTCTTTAATTAAACTTTTTTTAAGATTTAATTTTTAGATTTTTCTAGTTTTAAATTTATATCTGTAATCTAGTTGGTTTATTGTCCTTCATTGACAGGTGTTTATAATTTACTTTTAATCATTTATAAAACTAATATAACTTGATTTAGTCACGATATGGCTGAAATATTGCCGATGTGACTCACTAACTCACTCACTAATGGATCTATAAAACAATCGGAGAGAAAGCTGCCTTCTTCAGAGCATGCTCGATAGCTTTAAATATTCCTCTAGACTCTGCAAGGTAGCTTAACATTTAGTATGTATTAAAGAATTCAGTTTGTTGGAAGTTAACTGTGACGTAATTGAGAGACCATCTATGGTTTATGTAAATCTATTCTAAATTTCTAATTATTGTGTACGGAACATTTCCTTAAAGTACGGCTTGTCATGACGGCCCTATTAAAAAGGCTAGCGTTAATCACTGGATTATCTCATACAGAGCTGATCATTTAAGAAACAAACAAATGCTGATGAATTATAATTTCGTAAAAAAACCCACTCAGGCTTGTTGTAGACTGTCAGCTATCCGATCTCAATTTAATAAATCTTTAAAGTATACATTGGTATATGTTTGTCAACGAGCATTAGTGCAATCAGTTTATCTGGGAATCTAGATTTCGATTTCAAGTGAGAAGCTTAAAACCTGCTCTTTGTTACAAGTCGGCTCGTATGAGGGTGAGGTGTTACTCAAGCGTAAAAGGTGTAAGTTTGACACAGGCGTTTACCACTTTGGTCAAACCCACGACAAACATAGAAACACATTCAGATCGAATTAGCATTGAAACGAACAATTACAGGTTTCTCGTATTTGTCATAAGGGAAGTTACTCTGCATGGCTCTGCTCAGCCATAGGTGACTTGGATACCAAGGACTGGGTTACCAGGATGGAAGGAAAATCAATTTACTTTCAAGATTGACAGAATATAGTGGAAGTGAATTTGCTGGGGTTAATTCGAGTTCTAACAAGGCTGGCACTTGTCTGAATCTCATTGTCGGAATAGGCGAGACCGCTCAAAACACCTAGTGGTCATTGTAATATTACCAGTCATCCGATTGCTCACAGACTTGCCCAAAAGTTGAAAGGTTCGTGAATCACACCTCGCAGCGTTATGTCCAAGCTATGTCAGGGAAAACATGTCTCTAAAGGCACTACTTGTGAGATTTAGAAAGAAATTGTTTTCTTATTTATTTCTACGTTCAGCAGTACAGAACTTGAATCGCCCGCCTGTCACAATGTAGTTATCGGGATGATTGTCTATCAGCAATGTCGCTACATACATATTACATAATATGGTCTGTGTTGTTTTGTGGAGAGGTAGTCTCGGGTCTATCTGATTCGTGTCCTCCCATTTGTGAGAACTCCCAGTTGTGAGACACATTAATTAATGGTTCAGTGCACATAGGTGTTGCTTCCACATCCCTACAATGAAAGTGGGATCAGCCCGATTGTTGAAGAGTACCCACAAGGGGCATAGTTCATTAACACAGAAGACATTGTTCGATAGATACAGGAATAATGAAATAGATTATCCAAGATCCACCTGTTTGTCTTGTCTGGATTTCATTTACTGGCCAAAGTCACACAACTGGAATATTGATGAGCAGCTGCTTAGTGGCCATTTTATGAATTGCAAACCGGTTTTATGAAAAAGATAGTCTTCCACGAGCAAGGGAGGTAACTGCGACAGTATGCAGCGCCGATACAAAATATGTACCAAATTACATCTGCAAATATATATTTTCTTAACCCATGTAGAACGAACACAGTTGATTGCATTTACAATTCGAATGGTTCATCCTTGTGGTTGCAAATGTAATTTTAAAGAGATGGAAAGTAACACCCACGTCCAGGGGTGGAAAGAACTTTAAAATTGCTAGTATACTCCGGTACAGTGGCACATGTAAAATCACTTGCCCTGATAATTTTTCCACTACATCTGCCGATACTAGGACGTCATGGAATTGGTTATTTTCACCCCTGACGTCAATAGTACAATTCGCCCCAAATAGAGCAAATGTATTTTTTCGCAACAACGCAAAGAATAATCGAGACGTATAAGAGGTACTCGTTTATGCACTACCATTCAACTATGGTAAAATAAAGAAAATACACAACCTACTGTGTGGACACGCAACAATATGGCGTGCTTGGGATGAGAAACATACTGCCTTGTCAACTGGTGATATATAGAGAATCTCACCCTCGTGTCTACTGATATCAATTATATCAACATGAGTTGATAAAGTTACAAACATCCGAAGCTTGCCGAGGATATTTTTACCTTTATCAACGAGTGTTGATATAATTGATATCTGTAGACACGAGGGTGAGATTCTATTGATCATCAAAAATCATTCTTCATTAGTTTTCAATGAAAAAATGTATCTCTCAACACTGTACTACCATTAGACTTGCAGTGCAGCGATGTCAATAAATTGTCATAGCATTGTGACGTCATCAGGTTATATCATTATCAGGGCATTGTACAAAATCTACTGTCAAAACGATATCTCCTAGGAGATATCATATGATCTCACACAAGCGATATCTCCTGTGGGACACAGTTTTGGCTGATAAATTCCACATGCTAAAGGTCTGCCATAATGTGATCGAAAAGAGTAGTCAAAGGTTAATAAATACATTTTGTTAATTATAGTTAAAACAGTTATTGTTACATTTTTTAAACACGTAAATCTGAGTGGGTAATTAATTTCTCTTTAAACTGGTCGCGAAGTTACATTACACAAAGTGTTTATTTTTTAAAGACATTTACCTGAGTAGGTTAATTGATTATCTTTTAAAGTTTTCATTAAGTTACCACCACAAGATTCAGGGTTAATCCATTCTATCAGATAGGGTAGTACGGGGTGTTTTCTTTGTTAATTACCTACTCCACTGTCTCACAACTGGAGTCTCACAATTGGGAGTTCTCACAAATGGGAGTAGACCAACTGATTAGTTACCTTTCCCAGGCGATGATGTCTTGTTGGATAACGACTTGTTGGATAATGGGTAATACCATTTGGACTGAAAACTATTCATGAACTTGATGCTGGCAGA